GTCAAACAGTATTGAAAATATTATTGTATCCAATCTAACTAACAACTCTAAAAGCATCATTAGAGCGTAGACCACCGCCAAGAGGCACATATCCATTTCTTTAACAGTAGACAGTATTCCAGATCTCAAAATCAATAGAGCACCCTGTTGCATTGAGTTTGTAAAACTCAAAGAAAATTCACTCACTCATTACATTTATACCTATTGTACATATTATTAGTGATATAGGGGAAACCAGAGCACCCGGAGGAAACCTACACAGACCCGGGGAGAATATGGAAATTCCCCACAGAGTGGCCTGGACCTGCGTCACCGTGCCGCCCGGTCTGTGTCTTTCCTAAGAACACAACATTTTTTGCATTATTAGAATGCCCTAACCTTGCCTGCAAGCTGAATTCTCGCGGTATTTGTGAGTTCACAAACACTCGAGAATACGCGTTAGAGTTCTACACAATCATCAATCTGGCTTTTGCCAGGTTAAGAATGCCCCACTGCGGCGTCTTGGAATACAGCTGTCTCCCAGCTAGGTAAATAAGAAACTAGGTAAAAAGCAGATGCTAAATTCTAAATACCCATTTTATTATTTATAGATTCCATATTTTTTGTATCTGATTTGAAAGTGTATTAGGACCGTTCCCCATTCAATAGCATTTGTAGTATAACAAGTGTCTTTAGCACTAAATCAGACTAGTAATAAGTGACTTTATTCTGCTTTAACCTTATCCTAACTTCCCGTTTATAGGGCATGTTCCTAACCTATACTTTTGTGGACCAAGCCGTTGTTACTCAAACCAACGCTGTCATTTCAACTTGATTCATTATGTTACAATTAGAGGAAGAAAAAGGAGGCAACATGAAAGAGAAAATGTAATGCCACAGCGGCAGAGGGCGACCTGCAGAAAAGGGCTGAAGCAGCGGAAATTACAGGCTGCACTCCAAACAGAGCAAACGGGAGTGTATGTTTGAACAGTGCAAATCTCAGCTAGATTATACACTCGCATATATACATGGATCTAAATGTAGAGGTCTGTATATAAAACAAGTCACCTCGAACAAGTCCAACTCTGACTGAAGTGAGCTGAAGATGTGGGAAAATGTCAAAAGGTGTTTTTCACTTACACAGACAAGAATTGTGATAGATGGCAGGGTCATTTAATGCTAATCCAGCCCCACACTACAATACAATAGTCCTTGGTGATTTTGAAATACTTCTAATAAGGATTTTGCCCTAATATTAGTGGTTTAAACTGGCAAATAACTAGCTAAAATTATACAACACTGCAATGGATTTAGTCTGTCTTGAAACTTAAGATTAAAGCTGGGTTACCTAACTTTCAAACCACAACAAATGTGAAACCTCTCGACTGAATACTTTTTACGTTTTACCTGAGAGTTTCTGACCATTATCTACACTATTTCTTGTCTGAAGCTGGTGATAAACAAAAGTCATTTTGAGCGTGGCTTGATATTAAATTCTTGCTGTCCACATTTGAGAGATGACTGAAATATGTTGATGAAGATGTGAATGTGAAGATTTGAATCAGCTGCCATTTCCAAACACATGGAGGTCCTAACAAGTGGCACACATCATTGAATTACTATAAAGCCGCATTATACAAGCAGCACTTGATCATCATTTTCTCTGGAATTGCTAATCAACAGTGACCTCTTCATCATTCAGTTTTGTGTTCTCACTCTCCCAATGGGAAATGCACTGCTCTTTATCAGTGTCTGTGATAGGTCCTTGTGCTGTCTGGCTCCCAATGACTAGAATCCACTGACCCTCTAAATATAAGTAAACCTAATTATCCATTCTCACACTCCACACTGTATGTAAACATGCCAGCGTAATAAGATTTTCAGGTTTTCACACAATGCTCTCGTTCTCTCGGAAGCGCTGAAAGGATTTCCTGTGTTTAAAAGTCTATCCACTAAAATAGAATAGTAAAGCTATAACACAGACTGCCTGCATACCAGCAGTCTCTCAAATGCAGAGTTAGATGTGTTTAAAGTCTTATTACTGAACATTGTGAGAATAGGGAAGTGCTCGTGAGCAAAGTTTTGATCCAACTCAGTCTAGTTCCTATATGCATGCTTTATATCTATCTTTACTTTCATAACTTGTCTGCAACATGAGTCAAAGCAAATGGTTTGGCTTACAGTGGAAATTAAATAATTTTGATTCTGATTCGTATTGACCTGCGTTAAAAAGTAAACGTCTCTGGCTCAGTAACGAATATGGACTCATATATGTCCAATATGCAGTGCTCTCATGGTCTCTTGGTGTTTTTATTTTGATATTGTCTTTTTTAATCCAAATAAACCATCCATAAAAAGGATTGACCAATCAGATGCCTTAATTTGCGGGGGAAACTCCAGAAACCATCATAGCAACACATCTTCCCATGTCCGTATATCCAGCCACATTATGTTTAAAATGGCTACATCCACATTTGGCATTATGGGGCACGATGGGGCACTGTGGGGCACTATGGGTGACATCAATCTCGGTTGGTTCACTCCTTTATATGCCTTATGGTAGAAATATGTATTTTACTATTTCATCTCCAATTTAATAACTCTCTGATTTTTGATTTTGGGTCATACTTATGAAATCGATCAAATAAATAACAAAACAATTATATACAATAGAAAAATCAACAATGCTTTTGGAAGTTTTATAGATTTGGAAGAGTAATAATTAGGGATAAACTAAAGGATTGAGGTGTTAAAAATAGGCACCAAATATGCTCAGACTCAGATATCAGTTTTAGATTATCGGAACATACTGTAGTTGATATTCTGGTCTTGAATTTCCTTGTACCAGCTTTTATGATCTAATAATCTTTCAACTTTCATTCATACGACGTTAACACTTTAAGGGTGTTATTTAAAGTGACATAAGACAAGGTAAGGCCAGCACCATTTATACATATGGGAACTCAAAAGTGCTCTATAGAACAGGGAAGGAAAAATAAAAACAAAAGAGGGCAAATTTCAGGGTTGCATCACAAGTTATAGAACAGTAGCAGTGAGGAGCACACAGCACAAGAGAAGTGAACAATAGCTATATACTCATTAAAATAAAACAAAAGCTCTAACTCTAGCATCCAATAACAAGTATAAAATCTCTATCTTGAAAATAATAATATAAAAAAGAAGTATACAAGTTTTACTTACATTTGACAAAATAAGAGATAAATAAAGTTTACATTTAATTTGGTTTAGTTCTGAATCTTTTTGGTCTCACGTGACTTCAAATTTAGTACTTGGCTTCTTCTGGACACACATTATGGCATTTTATAATAATAATAATTCTGATGGAACAAACATTTAATATTTATGAAAGACAAAGTTAGGTACCCCAGCTTTAAGTACAATAATTTGAAAACTTTCTGACTAAAAAGTGACTCTAACTATAAGCGATTGATGGACACACTGAGCAGAAGCAAAGCATTTGACAAACGTGTTGCAGTTTTTAAGCCGCTGACTGTATCTATATCACGGCTGAGGCTCTGTCCCACATATGTCAGGGGTTTGTAAAGCCAAAGTAGAGGATTGATTTTCCCCCTCCGACAATATTGTGCCGAGTGACCTGAACCGACCAATCCTGTGCTGATGTCTTCTTTTCTTTTTCTCCACTTTGAAAAGCGGCAGAATAAGCTGAAACCCTAGTCCATTTGTATTGTGAGGACAAAGAGGGCAGAGGAGGGGTGGGAGTGGTGCTCAGACCCCCGCCGAGTGAAGGGACACTGGGGGCAGTAGCACCATGGAGGGTCACTGGTCATTGGGGTCAGATCAGGTTGTTGTTTTCTTCAATGATGCATCCAGCGGTCTTTTTTTTAAACAAAGAAATGCAAAGATATTTCACAAATTCAGCTTATATGCATTTACAGGTGCAATTAAACAGGCACTAACATGCTTCTTAGAGATGTTTTTGCACGGAAATAGCACTTAGCAATCCAGGTGACTCAAAACTTTTTCAGTAAGGGTCTGCAAAAAAATATTTTAAGATTAAAACAAACACTTTTTAATCAGATACAATATTGTTGCTTTTATTATAGTAACATAGATTTGATTACAGATGTATTTATATCAAATATGAATAAATATTACATAAAAAGTATATATAGTTAAAATATATTTAGTTATACTGTAATGAGTGAACAATCAATCTTCAATAGACAAAAATTAAATGCACTAATTGTTTAGTGTTTTGCTGAAATTATTAAGCGTTAGATAAGCGGAATAAAGGCTTTAAAACATTTTTTTTTATAAATGTATCTTATTGAATTGAATGTCCCCTGTTTTGAGATACAGTATGTATTATATGGACATGTTCTGAAAGACACCCAGCCCTACTTTTGAGGAATTCATAGTTTTATATTTATATTTTTTACATATACAAAAGTGAATTAATAATCTTTCATAATAATAAGTATGTCACACACAGAAATCATACAAAAGGACAATTTAGGGCAATTTAAAACCAAAAATACATAAACTATTTATTTGTTTAAATTATGGGGCTGATAAGAAGGTTCTTGTGTTTATAAGAACTTTCAATGTTTCAATGTTCATAAAAATCTAATCAAAAGTTGAGATGGATACAATATGAGGAAAGAATCTTGATAGTTGTCATTTTCTTTGTCAATTTAATCCAGTGGAGTAGTGCAACAACCTGGAGTCATTTTGACTATTGCACGTTGTCAGTAATGGGTTTGTCCAGGGCGGGGGAAGTGTGTAGCTGTGCGGGACAGAGGGAGGAGGGCCGACAGGGAGGGGGGGGGGGGGGGGGGGGGAGATCTCTACCGCTCTCACGCCTCAGTCTGCTCCAGCCGCTCACAGTCACTCCTCTCCAACAAACAGCCCGGGACAGACCAACACAATGACGCAACAGCACTTAAAAACACAAGGCGACTTCTGGAAAACCTTCTGACATCCATGCGTTGGGGATATTTGTTTGGATTACGCCTGCCCACATGCTGTTAATGAGGAATATGCAATCGAGGGCTAAGTCACGGAGCTGTGACAACTACCTGTGCATAAAGGTAAGGGTTTGGAGCCAGTGTTGGTGTTTTAAGCTGAAATTTGACTTCCATTCAATGTTTTGCTGCAAAAAAACTGATTAAATAAGCTAATAGTGCTAGAAGTAAGTCTTTTCTTTTATCTTGGTTGGGCATTATATGATTGCGTAAAAAACTTGATTTGCCAATGGAATAAGTATTACAATCTATTGCTTTACTTGTAAATAATAGAAGACAATTCATGTTTAACTTCAAATAAGACTCTAAACCTGCTTCTTCCCTTTGTAAATAGGAATTTAAGATCAAATGTCAAAACATTCTATTACAGATACATTTTGCTCAATTCAAAAGAAAAAGTAACTTTTCTTTCTTTCTGCCGCATTCGAAATTTCCCCACTGTGGGACGAATAAAGGAATTCTTATCTTATTTCTGCTCCGCAGACCATGACAGCTTGAAGTATGACTTAAAGCTGGGGTACCTAACTTTCTTAGAAAAAAAGTTATCTTTTGCATACTGGTAAGAAAGAGCCTTTGTAAGAACAGGGAAAAAAATACATTGTGTGAAGTGAAAACTAGTGATAGCTTTGAACAAACTAGCAACAAACTAGTTAGATGGATGTTATATGTTTGAGATGATTTGAAAGTTAGGTGCCCCAGCTTTAATACAGTAATGAGTTGTTTTTTATTTGGACACATGTTTTTAGAACTCATGGGATAAATTGTTTGTTTTGATTGAATACATTGTCTAGATCACAAGACATTTCTAGGTTGCAATGTTATATTTGGTGATCACAGAAAGCTTAAAAGTACAAAGTAGTTTAAGTGGTTTGTTGTTGGCTTTTTAGTAATCTTTCAGTTGTTGTGCTATTTTTAGCCTGGAGGTATCGGCAGACTGTGTGACTCTATTGTCCCCATGTCAGTGCTCATCAGGGCTCAGATTGACGTAAAGACCTACATTCACTTTCCTGTTTTTGTTTTCCCAGACTTTCTTTGATTTTTCACCTTAAAGCCAAACGCTGAGTTGTTCCAGCTTGATTTTAACATAAAGAAATAAACATTGAAAGAAAATTGGATTTAAAAATAGATCAGCAATCAAAAAGGCAATTTATCCCCTGTGAACGAAACTGAGAAGACTGGTTGTTGCTACGATGTTTTAACAATTATATCACACAACATTGGAAGGAAGGAAAGATATGTACTTGTTTATCACATTTAATTAAAAACAGCTCAATTTATCTGAGCTTTAACCGCGTTGTATTATTTAATACAATAAATCAGGACAAAAGCCTATAGAAAATAAAAAAGTCTCAACAAATTAGTTTTTATTTTGCTCTTGATAGTGCTCAGTGTCGGAGCTCAGTGTGTCACAATTTTTTGCCAGTCCATTATTGATTTGTTTTACAATCACAATTTTAAAATAAAACATTATTGTTCATTCATCCAAGTTGTCACCTCCATCCATTCTTTTCTGTCTGCTTTGTCTGGGACTGAATCGCAAAAGTTGCCTCTTCATTGATCTTTATTGATTATGAAGATATGTATTGTTTTCACCAAAATATTTCAAATTCACACTGCAATTACCAGTGGATTCATAAAATAATTGAACTAACATTGTAATAATCATTAGTGGGACTATCCAAACACAGGGTTTTGTTTTGAAGCCTTTGGTCATCATATTGCAACATATATTTATTCTAAAAAATGTGTTTAAAGCCTGAATGTACCATGGACGTACTATAATAAATTATAAATGATCAGTCAAGTATTAGCCATTTTATTAAGTTTATTTGATAGGGACAATTATTATATGACTTGGACCGTACGCGCGCTCTGATTGGCTGATTACCGGTCTGATATTTTCCCAACTCAGACCGTTACCATGACAATTGGTCCGAACAGCGCGTATCACATTTGATATCTTTCCTCGGACCGTTACCATGACAATCAGTCCGCAACGCGTATCAGATTTGATTTTTTTCCTGAGTTTCCTCGGTAAAAAAGAAATAATGGGCGACAACTGGGAGCATTCTCCCAGTGAATTCTATTATCCAGACGAGTTTGACAAGCCAGAGGAAGAAATTACAGAAAATAACGAAGAAAAAATAACTAACAGACAAGATGAGATTGACAACTTCGTTGCAGACCAGAAAGCTAAAAACACGATTAGGAAAACCAAGTCGGAGATCAATATTTTCCATAAATTAAAAATAGTCATATAATAAAACATTTATTAACCTTGCTTCCCCATACAGACCTCGCGCTCGGTTAATAAGCCGTTAGTATTCTTCTCTAATGTACATTGGGCATTATATACAATTAAACAGTGCAGTGAAAAATAGTCATAAACAGATAAAACAGAAAACACAATTCATACATATTTCTGACCTCTCTCAAAGACTTCTGTAAGTTTGAAAAAGAACCCTGTTTGTTTCTCTCGTCAGATCTGTAGATAAGCAATTGCATTTATTATCCTGCTCCTGTGTAATTACAAGGATTCTACTGCAACCTTGTTAAATAATAGATTTTATAGTTTCCTTTCTTATCTAGTGAAGCACTTTGAGTTGCCTTGTTTATGAATTGTGATCTACAAATAATATTGGTTAGTGACAGCCTTATTTATCAGTATAACTTACAGCCATATCCCAAATACTAGTAGCTGGTCTTATTATCTGACTGGAGTGATTATTATTGCAGCTAATGGAGCGTGCAGTGTTTCTCAGCGACCCCAGGTTAAAGTGTATCAGCTCTGATAACATCACCGCAGGCTCTCAATCACTTCACAATATCCAGGAGATAGTTACAGCTGTGGTATGTCTTCTTCTGTATTGTAAAGATGGACATTTTGAAAAGAAACATGGATTTTCAGAGCTTTTAGTCTTACAGAATATTAGTTTTAACAATACGCAAGTTGTTTAGACCCGTTTGACTCCAGTTGCTCTGTGTAAGGAATGGCTACCTCAGGATTTTTGGTTGAAATTCATGTGTTCAGGAAGGAGGCTGATGATTTTTCAGAAATTCTTCATACAAACAAGTGGTATCATGGAGGTTGAATATATTGAGAATTATGTGTGCAGGATCTTGGGGTGAACAATATTCTAATAGAATCATCATTTGATTGAGATTCAAATGTTGTATCTATTAATGTATTTAATTATCAAGACAATATGATAAATACTTTGCTGAGTATTTTATGGTTGTGTAATAATTGTGTCAGTGGCTCAATATATATACAGTGCTTGTTGGACTATTAAGCGCACCTGTATATAAACTGCACTAGCTACATTTGAAAATATTTAGGCTGCACTTGAATAAAAGCCGTAGGTTTGACAATAAACATGCTGCCCATCTCTACTAGAGACAGGCCTCCTCTCTGACAATGTTTAAAACCAGGTTAAAGACGGTTCTGTTTAACTGTGCATACAACTGAGGGATTTTATATTTTTATCTTTCTTTTTAATGTTCTGTGATAATTTATGATTTTAATGCTTTCTTGTTTTGTTCAGCACTTTGAATTGCCTTGTGTATGAATTGTGCTATATAAATAAACTTGCCTTGCCTTGCCTTGCCTACTACTTGTAGTTATAATAAAATGTAAAAATCCAAATAAAATAAAAATAAATGCATTGGCTGCATTGCATAGTTCGCAGGGTTAAAAAAAGTCTGTAGTTTCAATAGTATTATATGTTTATATTATAATTGCTTCTTTTTTGAGACGTTTCTGCCTCAATGCCTTCGTCAGATCTTTTTATTTTTAGACCAGTGTAAAAGATCTGACAAAAACAGAAACTGCAACTTTCAGAGGATTAGTTTGAACTTTAAATGCATTTCTTCAGCCTCAGCACTTGTTCTTATGCTGTACCATTTCATAAACATTTGCAAGAATCAGTCCATGTCTGTATTTGTGTTGGTGTCTGCGTGGTGGCTGGAGCAGACCTGCTGTGGCCTGTGTGCTCGGCCCCCTCTGAGAGCTCGGTTGGGGGCTCGCTCCTGTTACACTGCCCCTGTGGCTTCATGCTTCACTGGAGGCCTGGTACTCGCTGCCTTTTGTGTGTCTGACCACGAAATGTGTCCGTGGTCACCTCTCCCCCGGACTCTCACCCACTCTTTTCATTCAATATGTTGTGTTCAAGCTATGGTATGCCCATGTCTTTTGACCTATATTTTATTGTTAAAGATGTAATATGTCACTTATCTGGTGTAGGTGGTTTTATTTTGTATTATATTGACAAGGGTGTAGTTAACTATGATTTTGATAATCATTGATAATCATTTGATTATCAGTTAGCCAATAATTCTCTTGATTAATCATTTAGTTCAGAGGTGTCAAACCAGTCCTCAGCTGCAAGTTTTGAGCTCCCCAGGTTACACACATAGGTTTCAACAAACAAAGTTGGCCAAGTGGCCCGGATTTTCGACACAGGGGTGTGAAGACGGCCCGCGGTCAGAAGGGTCGGAGACCTACTTCTACACAACAGAAATGGCAGAGAGCTATTCCTTTTTTCAGTCATAATAATCATAGAGAACACACTGTACAGGCTCTTTCATACAGTGTCAGTGCATTTATACTCCCAAGTCATCATGTATGTCATGAAAGGAACGACAGGGGCGATAGCGAGTAACTGCACACGGGTGTTCAAGGCAGATTCGAGTTGGGCAGACAGAGCGCTCCGAGGCGAGAGATAGGCGAGTGGGTAGCTACCACACAGTGCCTCCAACACCCGGCTAAAGTACCGCACCGTTGCTATGACTCCACAAGCTCTGTGGACTTGCATTCAATGACGGTCAGTTTTGCGGTCTGGACATAAACCTCTCACACGTATGCGTCTGATACGTGGAATGAACACTGTATAATCCTATATTAGTTAATTTTTACTCTGTTAGTCCACAAGACTGAGCTATAAACTAAATGTTTTCTTCATTTTAAGCTTGATCAAGGATGTAAATTGTTATCCTCCTGAAAAGTAGATTTAGGTTGTGCTTGCCCTCTTTTTCTCGTTCTGACTATCTTTTAAGCACAGGTTGTG